TAGAATGGCATGTCATGTGCGAGATGCAAAAGACGATCAAAGATGTTTTAGATCAAAGAAGTTTTATGTTTTAACTTGAACACTGTGTTATGTGCTAGATCAGGGGTGTACAATCTGGAGGCCTGATGCCCTGCGGAGTGTAGCTTCAACCAGCTCCAACGCACTTGCCTGGAAGTTCCTTGTGAATCTTAACACCTTGATTACTTTGGTTCAGGTTTGTTTAATTAGGGTTGGAGCTAAACTCTGCAGGACAGTGGCCCTCCATAAACTGGTTTGAAAACCTGTTCTGAATAAACGCATTCTGTAAGAATGACCCCTTACAGAGGCGTGGTTGACTTAACTTTTATAAAGAATATCTCTTTGGATTTGAGACTTTAGTCTTTGCAACTTTACAGATCTTCTTTATGCACCAAGAGCTTGTAACAATTTTTGATTGAAAAATTGAAATCGCATCATATGACCCCTCTAAAGACAGTGATTGTTTAGTTTCTGTGACGTTAGACATTAGTCAGGGCAGTGCTGTATTTCATTTTTGACAGAAATTAAAACTAAGCTGTGAGGGATGGAAGTACAGTGTGGTCATGGATTGTACTATAGTTTAAAGGGTTAGTTCACCCCAAAATGAAAATTCTGTCATTAATTACTCAACCTCATGTCGATCCAAACCCGTAAGACCTTCGTTCATCTTCGGAACACAAATTAAGATATTTTTGATGAAATGTGAGAGCTCTCAGACCCTGCATAGACAGCAACGCAACTGTAATGTTCCCAGGTCCAGAAACGTAGTAAGGACATCGGTAAAACAGTCCATGTGACAAAAAACAAACAAAAATAACAATTCTTGTCCCACGAGTTACGTTTTCTGCCATTTTGGAGAGTACCCAAGAGCGTAATCAACATAATCAGCGTTGTTTGTGTTCGGGGGAGAAAGCGCACGCATTAACGTAATCTGCATTGTTTACGCTTAGGGTAAAGCATGCGTATGTGTTGTAATACTCTTTAAAATGGAGGAAGACGTAACTCGGGGGAGAAGAATTGTTAAATAAATTGTTATTTTTGTTTTCTTTGCACTCAAAATGTATTCTCGTAGCTTCGCAAAACTGAAGTTGAGTCACTGATGTCACATGAACTGTTTTACCGATGTTCTTACTACATTTCTGGACCTGGGAACATTACAGTTGCGTTGCTTTCTATGCAGGGTCTGAGCGCTCTCACATTTCATCCAAAAATATCTTAATTTGTGTTCTGAAGATGAACAAAGGTCTTATGGGTTTGGAACGACATATTTGTAATATGGGCAAGTAATTAATGACAGAATTTTCATTTTGGGGTGAGCTAACCCTTTAACTATGTGGTTTTTTCAGCTGATGAAATGTCTTTCCGGAAAAAACTAATGTGATCTAGAACCTTTGTACAATGCATGGCATTGTTAAGACTGCAATTCTGTCCCTGACAACTTCATCCGCATTAAATTCAATACGTCTAAACGGACTAAGGTATATACTCCATTGGAGAACTTCTTTTTTGTGTTTCTAATTAATATTTCAAAAAAAAAAATTGGCGCAAACGGAACATCAGAATTTCATTTCTTTTTTTGCTGTAGGGGCCATAGTTTTCTTTGTGGTTCTTCTATAAATGTTTGGTTTTGCATTAAAAAAATCAAACCATAATACTCTTACAGTTTCTCTTTTTAAACTTTATTTGTAGACTTCAATTACCAATCAATAGTGCATTCCTGGACTTGCAGGTAAACATAACCAGTTCACCGGTCTTCTGATGTCCGGTGGAAGTATGTACAGTACTTCCCAAAGCAGATGAATGACTGCAGTAATGCATTACATTATAGTAACCGGAACAACCAGAGGGTCAAAGTCTCTCTCTCTCTCGCTCTCTCTCCAGAACAGGCAACAAAACAGGAAAAAGAAACCAGTGTATTTTTCTCTCTCTTTCAGGACAGTAGGGTACCCTCACCCCTTCTTCCTCATCTGCGAAATCCCTTGTCATTCTCTCCAGACCCACCCCAGATGACCTTTCTTTCTGGAGGTCAAAGGGCAAACCCTGAATCCTCAGACTGGCAATCAGACAAAAACAAGGCCAAGACATCACAAATAAGTCAAAATACAAGAGGAAAACTGAACATACAGTATACACAGGTACAAAGCTTCCCCCTCACAATGTTAAATATATTTTTCCATAAATCTCTTTTATTTACCCTTCTCATTTGCTCTCTCACATATCGATAAAACAATTTAATAAAGCTTTCGACAACCATTTTAATGTCTTTAAACCGCACAAGTCTACTTGCGATCCAAACCCGTAAGACCTTCGTTCATCTTCGGAACACAAATTAAGATATTTTTGATGAAATGTGAGAGCTCTCAGACCCTGCATAGACAGCAACGCAACTGTAATGTTCCCAGGTCCAGAAACGTAGTAAGGACATCGGTAAAACAGTCCATGTGACAAAAAACAAACAAAAATAACAATTCTTGTCCCACGAGTTACGTTTTCTGCCATTTTGGAGAGTACCCAAGAGCGTAATCAACATAATCAGCGTTGTTTGTGTTCGGGGGAGAAAGCGCACGCATTAACGTAATCTGCATTGTTTACGCTTAGGGTAAAGCATGCGTATGTGTTGTAATACTCTTTAAAATGGAGGAAGACGTAACTCGGGGGAGAAGAATTGTTAAATAAATTGTTATTTTTGTTTTCTTTGCGCTCAAAATGTATTCTCGTAGCTTCGCAAAACTGAAGTTGAGTCACTGATGTCACATGAACTGTTTTACCGATGTTCTTACTACATTTCTGGACCTGGGAACATTACAGTTGCGTTGCTTTCTATGCAGGGTCTGAGCGCTCTCACATTTCATCCAAAAATATCTTAATTTGTGTTCTGAAGATGAACAAAGGTCTTATGGGTTTGGAACGACATATTTGTAATATGGGCAAGTAATTAATGACAGAATTTTCATTTTGGGGTGAGCTAACCCTTTAACTATGTGGTTTTTTCAGCTGATGAAATGTCTTTCCGGAAAAAACTAATGTGATCTAGAACCTTTGTACAATGCATGGCATTGTTAAGACTGCAATTCTGTCCCTGACAACTTCATCCGCATTAAATTCAATACGTCTAAACGGACTAAGGTATATACTCCATTGGAGAACTTCTTTTTTGTGTTTCTAATTAATATTTCAAAAAAAAAAATTGGCGCAAACGGAACATCAGAATTTCATTTCTTTTTTTGCTGTAGGGGCCATAGTTTTCTTTGTGGTTCTTCTATAAATGTTTGGTTTTGCATTAAAAAAATCAAACCATAATACTCTTACAGTTTCTCTTTTTAAACTTTATTTGTAGACTTCAATTACCAATCAATAGTGCATTCCTGGACTTGCAGGTAAACATAACCAGTTCACCGGTCTTCTGATGTCCGGTGGAAGTATGTACAGTACTTCCCAAAGCAAATGAATGACTGCAGTAATGCATTACATTATAGTAACCGGAACAACCAGAGGGTCAAAGTCTCTCTCTCTCTCGCTCTCTCTCCAGAACAGGCAACAAAACAGGAAAAAGAAACCAGTGTATTTTTCTCTCTCTTTCAGGACAGTAGGGTACCCTCACCCCTTCTTCCTCATCTGCGAAATCCCTTGTCATTCTCTCCAGACCCACCCCAGATGACCTTTCTTTCTGGAGGTCAAAGGGCAAACCCTGAATCCTCAGACTGGCAATCAGACAAAAACAAGGCCAAGACATCACAAATAAGTCAAAATACAAGAGGAAAACTGAACATACAGTATACACAGGTACAAAGCTTCCCCCTCACAATGTTAAATATATTTTTCCATAAATCTCTTTTATTTACCCTTCTCATTTGCTCTCTCACATATCGATAAAACAATTTAATAAAGCTTTCGACAACCATTTTAATGTCTTTAAACCGCACAAGTCTACTTGGACATTCAACAAACACATACCTCAAGTGACATCCAAGAAAAAGTACAGTAAGTTTATTTGCTTGTCCATAAACCAGTTTGTGCTTTTGTTGTTGTCTGTAGACAACAGTCAAATTTGATGTTTCTCCATCTGTGTAGAAAGAGATCCAGCACATGGAGACATATGGACCACAGCTGAAAGAAGCAAAGGTGATGACCGAGATCCTTTACAGGACATCAGCATTATCAGCATTGCTCTGTTATAGACAAAATGACCTTTACCATTCACAGAAATCAAAAGAACACATCGAAGGTAAGGTGGAGAGAGAACGGCCACAAAACAGACGAGACAAGAGATAGAGCTGGAAAGGAGGAAAGCGTCAAAACAGCCAACACACTCTCATGGCAATTCGTAACTATTTTACATTTTGGTGTCTAATATGTATAACACATTGGTGGCTAATTCATGTAACCTCTTTTGTAGATTTTCATACTATCATCTTACGTCCCATTGAAGGTTAGGTTTAGGGATGGACATTTATGCTTACATTTTTGTAAAAATCTCACGTTTCTTTGCCAATTGTACAAATTCATACAAAATCGGCACCTCATAAAATAGTTTTCTCACGAGATTGGGTTAGAATAGCATAGTAAAGAGATAACTTGATTTCTCTTGCCAGTCTGTTCATGACTACATGATCAAGAGTTGATTTGAGCATTAAAAGGTGCACTCAAAAAGTTTTTGTTTGTGTTTCACAAGTTATTTTTCCACCCCAGAGAAGTATATACTGACACCTACTGGTGTGGATGTATGAAGTTTGTGTATTAATTGCTGTTCACTTCATTTTCATTCATTTCTGTTTTGTAAAGTGCCTTGAGCACTGAGAAAGTACTATATAATAATGAACTAATGATTATTATTATTGACATTGTTGTCTTTATTCGACATAGAAGCCCCATGAGAGGGCAACCCACTCCACGTGGAATAAATCAGAAGATATGACTAGAGTCTTGACTGCATGTGAGTATTTATCATTTTAATTATATTCACTAAATGTTCTACTCCCTGTAAAAAATTAATTAAGAAAAAAATAACTGAATGCACCTTATTTTATCACCATATTCCTCAGTTTCCTCAAGTGTCACTGCAACAAAGAGATGGGGTTGTATGGCCTGCCATGTGTTCTGAATCTCATCAGTGCGTCTTCTCATTTGAAACCATGGCACAACATCCCCAGCGTCCCACTGACACAATTAAATCTGTCTTATATTAGGTCAGATGGATAATTTCATCTGTCTGTCCCCATCTCCTCAAAGCCATTAATCCAAACTAGACTCAGAATGACAGGTGCTGTCAAAGGCGTCTTCACATTCAAATGAATCCACTGGAGATGCTGCCTCAATGAACAAAACATCATCAGTTTCCATAACAAAGCGCAAAAAGCATAACACTAAGAAGAGGACAAACGCGTAACGCTTAATTAATGGTTGTCAGAGTCAACAGAGCATTTTTGTCCTTTCACTTACCACTATTTTGTAACACTGATCTTTTGGGGTAGATATATTATTTAAGTTTAGCAGACCTCTATCAAGCACTTCAGATGTTGTTCATCCTGTTTCTTGTAGAAACACAAGAGTTTTCAATATGGCTCCATTAGTTAATAATATTCCAACAGGCTGCATAACCATTGTGACATCATCAGGATGCGCTCTTCTCTTTTGGATGCGACAGTCCTATACAAGCAAATGGACAACAAGATTCACAAAACATCTGCTAACATTAGTACGGAGGATGTTGTAAAGGGAAAGATACCAACTTGCTCAAACCACTATAGTACAGCAAACCCAGAGGCAAAACAAAATCGATATCAAAGGACAAATTACAAACAATTGAATTAGCCCTTGAATTGAAACAGTTCAGAAATTGAGTTGAGATATGCCCAAATTCAAGAGAGAGAAAAAGGAGACAGAAAGTAACAGGCGTCGGCAGGTGAGCGTGAACTGAATGTTGACCTCTCTGCTTCTCTTCAGTATTAAGCTTCTCAATGGATCAGAGAGAGTTCAAAGGTCACTAGCCTAATCATTGACCTTCATCATCTGCGCTTAAGTACCAGTGTGGCTTTGATATGTGTGCTTTCACTCTATTCTCTACCTACATATTCAATTCTGTCACCTATGTTTTTCATTCAAAACATTGTACACATTTCAATATCCATCATGTAATTTCAAATTGTAATGTCAGACCCCCATTGCTTATTTCATTATAATACAGCATTTCTTCTTTTTTCGTCTTCGTGTTCTTTGTTCATCAGTCAAATTCTCAATACCTGGGAAATGAAAAGCTCTGGGGTCATTGGATTTAAAGGGACAGAGAAATCTCAGCGCGAGAAAATACAGTCGCAGGGTGCTGTGCTGTAGCTGTGCCCGTTTCGAGTCCGCTTTCAGAGAGAGGCACATCACATTTATCCTGGCTGTCCAAGGGATGGGGGGGAATTGTGGGAAAAAGGGGAGAGACTCGAGAAGAGAGGTTTTCTATCAGGCTTAGGGTGTGGCATGGAGGGGGGGTGGGGGTCGGGTCGAATTAACCCAATGACTCTTTCCCACTCTCACGCACCTGCTGACCGGTCTTACTCATCTTCATCTCCGTCAGCTGGATGTATCGCAGCACGTTTGTGTCTGGATAGAGAGAGGATATAGTACAGAAAATAAGAAGCGCAAGGGAGAAAAAATCAGCATAAGACTAAAACTTGCTTCACTAGGTAAACACATCAACATAACATAAATATAGCTAAATGGTTTACACACACACACACACACATTTTACTTAGCTATCTAAATGGGGACTCTCCATAGACGTAATGATTTTTATACTGTACAAACTGTATTTTATATCGCCCTAAACCAACCCTACACCTAAACTTACCCCTTACAGGAAACTTTCTGCATTTTTACAATTTTAAGGAAACTTTGTTTACTTTATTTTTATACCAGTTTTACAAATGAGGACGTCCCCAAAATATGGTTAAGTAGGTACACACACACACACACACACACACATATATATATATATATATATATACAGTATATATGTGTGTGTGCTGTGTGTACATTAATGAGGAAAAAAAATTAACTTAAATGATTTTAGCAAATGGCTGCAATATAACAAAGAGTGAACAATTTAAGGGGGTCTGAATACTTTCCGTACCCACTGTATATACAGTATTTATGTGTGTGTTTGGTTCTCAACAGTTGAATTGCGGCAGTGTCGTTTTTGTTAACTAAAACTAAAGTTATTAAAAATATTTTTTGGTAATTCAAATAAAGCTGAAATAAAATGAAAAATAAATATAGATCAAAAACATAAATGTACAAACTAAAACAATAATTAGAAATTTTGCCTTGGGAGCTAACTGAAAATAATACAAGTTCTGAATTACTAAAACTAAAACTGAAATGAAAATAAATTAAACCTATATAGAAATATAAATAAGCGAATAAAAATCACAAAAGCACATAGCAATATACTAATACACAAACTAAAACGAAAAAGAAAAGAAAAAGAAAAGGTAATTCAAAATATTACGAAATACTATAATAGTACATAAATAATACTAAAATAACACTGGGTCATGGATATTTTGGAGCAAATTCATCTGCCAAAGTATATTAATATTGTGCCTATAAATAAATTTCAGTTTGATTTTAAGGGCATTTCTAATTACTTTTGCATGATAAGCTCTGGTTATCGGCCAGTATGACGGAATTTGTCATTTAGACATGCTCATTTCCCATTTTTTTACATTTACATTACCTTTGCCATCACTTAAAAAAAAACACTAATAATTTAATAACACAGATACATCTTTAGCAAATCTCAAAATAAATATGTACACATTTAAATTTAAATATATTTACAAAATACATTTAATACAAAAATGTGTGTTGTTATACATTATAATTTGATTATATTATTTATTAGAATGATATAATTAATTGTATTATAGTTTTATTTCTAAATCCACTTGCAGCATTTAAAACAATTTAGACAAAATGAACAGAATATCAACCACATAATCAGATCAACCAGATATAAATATCGATATAAGATAATTATCAGCTTATAAAAAAAAGAACACACACACAATTTAGATAGTGTTGACTCACTTCTTGGATCCAGTGTAAAATCATTTGAGAATCACTACTGTATATAATATTAAAGTGATCATAAAGCCCACCTGTGGGTTCACGGCACTTGGCATCGCGTAGGTAACGCAGGGCACACTCGTAGTCTCCCAGGTGGTAGAAGGCAATCCCAGCACGGTACATGGCCTTAAAGTGATCCTGCTGGTGTCCGAGTACCTTCAAACAGTATTCCTTAACCCGTTCATAATTCACCAGCTCCGACTGCAGCAAGCACGCTATAAAGAACCAGAGAGTGTAAAAGAGAAAAAGGAGGGGAATTAGTACAGTCAAAAGGACAGGACAAAACAATAAAACAGCTAAAATGAATAAATCAATGAACAGCTAGGGAGAAGGGAGTAAAAATAGACGTACTGGTCTATAAAACCCTGGTCTGATTGATAAAGTAGAGAAAGGGACCGTATGTTTTCACGCGGTCATCAGTTGCACTGAAGGTCTGAGAGCAGCAGTTTTTAATGCTATTAGTCCCAGATAACCACATTAGCACAAAGTGAAGGCCTAATTGCATCTTTTAGCCACTCTAGGCTCAGTGACACAGATGAAGTAATTGTTTTATCTGCTGTCTAAAGAGAAAATAAACCAAATGGGACACCTAATCTAAAACTGCTGCTTAAAAGTGTTGGATGCATCTGAAATGTGCATGCTTTATCGAAAAACAGGAGACGAATGTTTAAAGGTGTGCGTGTGTGTGTGTGTGTATATACACATTTAGATTTAAATTAGATTATGAGAAACGCATGACTGTATGATGCTATAATACTTCCACTTTGACTTAACAGAATACAGGATTTTGACATTATAATAGCTAAAGACAGATAATAATATGGAAATTTTCCACATCCATTTCTAATATTCATTGAATGAATTAAATATGGAGGTCTATGGTTCAAAAAAAGCTGCAGCTAATTAGATACATTGGCCCTGAAAGAACATCTGCATGGCAAATGAATTACTGCGGTGCCTGCTAGGCAGCTGGTGCGTGTTGTCAACCCCTCGTCCAATCAGGGTTATTTATTCCAACAGCCCATTTTTGCATGTATGTAAATATAGGTTATGGTTTCCTCTGTTAAATCACTGTGCAATAAAACACTGTCTACATAAAACAACTTCAAATATGACAATGCATGTATTGTCTTTGATTGAAATGGTGTAGATAAATGACGTGGAAGCTAACCAGAGGGAAGAAAAATAAAATAAAAATGAGATCTCTTTACCATTTCAAATATTTCTCCTAGACAGAAATGAGATTACTTTAAGATTGAATGGAAACTTTTGCTTGAGTCTCCTGCTTCTCAAACTTGTCCCTGAGACAAAAACTCTAACACTCTCACAATGGTCTCCTTTAAAGCTTTAGAAGAGATCTCAACAACTTCACACACTGTGCTCAGATATTTCTCCTTAGCTAGACTCTGGATCTCTCACATTTGTCTCCTTTAAAGCTTTAGAAGAGATCTCAACAACATTATACAGTGTGCTCAGATTTTTCTCCTTAGCTAAAGACTCGAGAGCTGTCACATTTGTCTCCTCTAAATTTCAGAAGTGATCTCAATAACTTTACAAAGTGTGCACCAAGTCAAATGCCTCAATATGAGCTCAAACATTTCTTCCATATAATATGTATTAATAATCAAATTAGTCAATTAATAATCAAGACTGAGTCATAAGCTATTTATATGCCTTTCAGCAAAGAAAGCTCCAGAGTTACATTTTCTTTAAATCAGTTTTGATGAAGGCATCCGCTACATTACTATTTCCAACAACAAATTATGTGCCTAAGTACATAAACATTGTCTTATAAAAAGTTACATTATTCTTATTTCTGCATAATTTCTCTCTCAATATAGCCTTTAACTCTGAATTTATGATCCCCCCCCCCTCTTATTTAGTGCCTTTCAAGTACTTGACTTGATGCACACTTTGTAAAGTTGAGATCTCTTCTAAAGCATTACAGGAGACAAATATGAGACCCCCAGATTATTTATGTAATGGGACCATGATTTGGGCACTACAAGTCCCAGCGTTATATAAGGAAGTAGTGAAGTTTGTTTGCCTCTTGTCTTTTGATTTCGGGGATGTCGTGGCGGATTTAGAAGTTGAAAAGAATGGTAGGTAATGAGATTTGTTTGTGAGAGGTGCTCTCTCACTTCTTCGCTACTTTTATTGATTGCATTCCGTGTATGAATTGATGTTGTGGCAGATATAGCACTTCAAAAGAATGGCAGATAAGCAGTTACGTTAAATAATCCCAGAGCTTCGTCGTGAACTGAACATATGATGCACCGATTAAGGAGGTAGTAGTTTTGTAGTATTGATGACCTAGTTCTTAGGAGTTTGTTTTAATGATAGTATTCTCTTTGTTTTTAGTGTTGTGGCTGGATTATTGCCTGACTGATGGTTGCCTGACTGTCCCAGTCGAAAATAGTGGATGTTAGAGGTATTGTTTAATATAAAGGGAGCTTTTTAAATTTAAATTATGTGTAGTATTTATAGTGAGTGCATTTTATTTAAATTATGTGTTTTTATATCTTCATATTCATTTGTTGTAATAGACTGTGTTTTCCCTTTTAGGGATGCACGGTTACTCTTTACTTTAGATTGAATACTTATGTTATTATTTTTTATTTTCTTTTGTTCTGTGAATTTGGGACCCAGAGTGGCAGAGGAGAGATTAAGTCCCAAAGAAACTGGTTTAATAGTGACTGTGTTACAATATTGACTTGCATTTGTGTCACCTGCATTGCCCACTGTTAATTAAGTTGTTTGTTTTCTTTTGTAGGTTTAGTTTGGGTTTCTTAAGCCAATGGTGGCCACGGTGTTGCCCTCACTGTGTGGATGGCGGTGGTGAGGTGGCTGGGATTGTGTGGTGGTGTGATCACGTTATTTCTATTTTTTCTGTAGGTTTGCAGTGTGATTGCTGTGAGCCTGATTGTTGTGAGAACACTGCTCTTGTGCAACTTTTGTCTTCCCTTTCTGGGTAACCTGTGGCCTTCTATAGTTGGTTTTCTTTTTGTTGTTTCTCATTTATCTTTTACTTTTATTTTTCTCATGTGGGTATTTGCATCAAAGATTGGTGATGTGATGTTTTAATACTTTTGACCTATCTGAATAAAAATGTGCCTGTTGTTCAAAGTCACCTCATGGCTCCTTTCGCCTGGTTACTACTGACTTCTTCGGGTCATTCCACCACATTTAGCTAAATATAAAAATCTGAGCACAGTGTGTGATGTTGTTGAGATCTCTTCTATACTTTAAAGGAGACAAATGTGAGAGATCCAGAGTCTCTTGCTAAGGAGAAATATCTGAGCACAGTGTGTAAAGTTGTTGAGACCTCTTTTAAAGCTTTAAAGGAGACCATTGTGAGAGTGTTAGAGTTTTTGTCTCAGGAGACAAGTTTGAGAAGCAGGAGACTCAAGCAAAAATTTCCATTCGATCTTAAAGTAACCTCATTTCTGTCTAGGAGAAATATTTGAGATGTTAAAGAGATCTCCCTTTTGATTTTTCTTTCCTATGGGTGTGTATGTGACATGTTTCTGGAATCTTCAGGCATTTAGGACTGTCTGCAATTCAATTCATCATTTAAGCTCTTGCATAAGCTCACTCCTCTGCAGTTTTCTAATAATGAACTGAATTCACCTCTTACATTATTATGCACCGGCTGAATGAAGGAATGAAGTAAGAGTGTAAGGTTGTTGGTGAGAGTTGTTTAAGAGTTTTAAATTTTTTTCCCATTTAAATCTCTTATTCTCACCAATGCTGCGTGTGATAAATATTTATTTAATCAAAAATCCAGTAAAGCAGTAATGTTGTAAAATATTATTACAATTTAAAATAACTTGTTTCTATTTTAATATATTTTAAAATGTATTACTGTGATGGCAAAGCTGACCATTACTCCAGTCCCAGGAAATCATTCTAATATGCTGATTTGGTGCTCATTTTATAGTTGAAAAAGTTGTGCTGCTTAATATTTTTGTGGAAACCATGCTACATTTTTTCAGGATTCTTTTATGAATAGAAAAAAAAAGCTTTTTTTTTTTTGATTTGTAACATTGTAAATGTCTTTACTGTCACTTAATAAAATTAATACAATTTTTAATAAAATAAAAAAAACTGAATAAAAGTACTAATAAAAGAAAAAGAAAAAAAAGTATTAATAAAAAAAAAACATACTGGCCCAAGCTTTTTGAATGGTATTGTAAATAAATATATGAATATTTATTATATAACATTTTTATTTTTATTTTATTTAATTATGTTATTTAATGGATTTGTATTTATATGGTCTGTATTTATATATGCTATTTAGGTTGTTTAATTCCAACTCTTAATTATAACCATCATCAAACATCAAAATAAAGTGAAACCAGTGAAAATCTGTGACCCCACAGTATCTTCTAAATTTGATCTCGTTCAATACCCGTTTACTGCCTTCAGTGCGGCACCAATCTTGGCCCGGTCTTTGACTGGCAGAGGTCTGACCCCTGCCAAGGTCAATGTCTGTCTGTGCAGTTGAGAGGCTGCTAACTACCAAATACACTGACAAAAGCTGCTGCTTTATATTGACAACCTCCCTCTGTCCTTTCCTATTACGTGCCTCCAACCATCACTTGGCCTGTTGCTTACACCTCTGTGGAAGTCATGAGTCAGTGGTATCGGCACAAGGCAGGATGACAGAGCACAGGACAAAAAAAATAAAAGATCAGTCCACCACAAATTCAAACTCTACAAGACAATTTCTCACCACACACATTCTGCACAGCATTCAAAGTGTCCAATTGGCAGTAAATGAACACAATACACAACCATCTGTAAAATCACAAATAAATGAAAAATGAGTGACAGACCAATATATGTGCCAGAATGATTAATTCAGTTATATAACCAACTGGCCGACTAACAGAAAAGGTAGTTTCCCTTATGTCAGTTCCAAAATCTACCAACAGCTATATATACAGTGGTGTGAAAAAGTGTTGGCCCCCTTCCTGATTTCTTATTTTTTTGCACGTTTGTCACACTTTAATGTTTCAGATTGTGATCTCTGGTTTTTGTGATTAACTGGGTTGGCTCATCTCATTTGGCCTGGGACGGGAGAGAGAGAACCTGCCATTTCAGCACAACACCGTCACGCTCATCGAGCGTCCTGTCCATCTTCATTCTGGGCAACTGGAACCCTGCAAGCTCTCAGTGTGTTCAGTTTCAAGCAATAATGGTCTAATGG